TTGAGTGTCAAGTGAAACCTCGAACTCAATTTGATCCTAATAACACACATATAGGAGTCAAATGAAGGTATGTGTGGTCGCACAAGGGTGTGTGCTGCCGCACAAAGGGTGTGTGCGGCCGCACAAAGGTGTGTGCGGCCGTACACAGGGGTGTGCGGTCGTACACCCTTCATGTTTGTGTCCAAAAATGCCAACTTTAAGGTGCAACAAGGCTAGGGTCATGTCCAACTCGAAGATGGAAGTCAAACTCTCACTTTGAAGGGTCTTTTAGGAGTATGCGGCCACCTTATGGGGGTGTGCAGCCGCACTCACTTCCAAACACGAAGAACATGACGAATATTGCTCACTTAAGGCTTAGATAGAGTGGTCTATCATGGTTTGCAAGTTAGAGGATGAATTACTCACGTTCTTGAAGCTTTGGAGGGTTCACGGTTGAAGAAGCTTGAGAGAATAGTGTAGGGTGCTGCCAAGGAGTGAAAGGAATGAAAGGAAAGGGGGTCTACCCTTTATATAAGGGTGAGAGTACTGCCAAGAGGTGGGTGTGCGGCCGCACACCCATGTGTGCGGCCGTACACTCCTCCTAAAGGTGTGTATATCCCGGTTTTGTCACTATGCGACTCGCTGACTCATTCCTATCCTTAACCTTGGTTATAATCAAGCTTAGAACGCTTAAATGAACCCTTAAACAACACGAGAAGTCAACATAACAAGTTTAACATTGATTGATTTGACTAAGTGTACAAGATAGAAGTTCTGGGTTGTCACAACGAACATGAACACAAATTCTCATTCATTTAGTTAAATGGATGAACGTGAACAATGATCCCGTTCGTTCACTTATGTTCGTGAACGTTCGTTTATGTTGTTCGTTTATGTTCGTTCATATAATTTCCTTTTATGTTCATATATGTTTAGATGTGTTTGATTACGTTATTATATTATATGTTCATATATGTTTGATTATGTTTGTTCATTTATGTTCGTTCGTTTATGTTCACGAACATAAAAGAACAAACATGAAAAATGTAATTTGTTAAACGAACGAACATAAACAAGAAAAACTCGTTCGTTTGTCCGTTCGTGTTCGTTGAATTCGTTTACAACCTTATTCATAATATCTCGATATCAACGCATGAAGGAGTTTTCAAAACTTTTCCTTCAATTTGTTTCAATTTGGAACATGTCTTTAATTAGAGACAAATATAAAAATTAAGTTATTATTGATAGATTGTTAAAGGGTTCCATTGTTAAATTAGTGAGCAAAACTTACATGCGCAGGTTAGCGAGGCTAGCGTTAACATGTGCGCAAGTTAGACGTGTCCTCCCCTCCGTTTTGTGTGAAAACTTCTACTCTCTTTCCTAAACTCCAGTTCAACAGGTTCGTGTATTTTGGCAAAAGTTTGGAGAAAGAGAGGGCAAATCTGTGAGCAAAGAAGGATGACAGAGGCCTTCATAAGGAACAAGCCAGGAATGGCGAGCGTCAAAGACATGCCACTTCTCCAAGACGGTCC